GGCCGTCGCCTTCTGCCTGTACTACGATTACATGCGGCAATACTTCGACGAACATGGCCATTTCCCGGGGAAATGGCGTAAGTGTTTACGCCTTCATGCGGGACTCACAACACTAAACTGCTTCCAGGAGATGTGAAATACAAGGGGGGGGAGTCAAACCTTCCAGACCTCCCCATGGTGATATGCATGCCAGCGGCCCTCCATCCCCAATGGCAGACAGAGATTCGACGGTACGTACAGCAGGGATGGGTGGATCTCCTCCCTTACACAGGGACGCACAAGTCGCGGTCCAAGTGGTGGGACGACGTGTATGCGAAGTCGCATCACTCGCCCTCGCGTCGTATTATTTTGGCGACGCATACGGTGAGTTTATTATAGGCTCATATTGGTGCGCCTACTTACATAGCCATAGGCCATGAGCTCAGACAGTGAAGTGGCGTTTCGCCTTGCCGATAAGAAGATGCGGGACGCGCGGAAACACGGAGACGTGCGCGAGAAGGGCAGATATCGCGCAAGCACCCTGTACGGGCACAAATTCGGAGTTTTTGCGCTGGATGAGTCGCACGTCGTGCGAACCTTGAACACGATATACACAGCGGCGCGCCAGCTCCGTATCCAGAGCGAGACGATGGTGGCGTTGACGGCGACGCCAGTGATGACGAAGGCCACGGTAAGCCGTCATTTTGGCTTTAGGTACCTCAATGACTGAGTTCACCGTAGGACTTGTGGTTCATCGGGTGCATGCTCGGCATCCCTGCGTTCGATGAGCCACAACATGACAAGGAGCTTTACCAGTGGCGTTCCCAACTCGCGACGGCTATGCGCAACGATCGCGCCAGTGCGAAACACAGCGGCAGCGCGATGAAAGTGGTGACTCGCGTCGTCCATGGCTTGAGCGTCGAGGACGACGCCCTGGAGAACGGCTTCTCGAAGGTTGTCGACGCCATGATGGTGGACGTTCGCGCAAAATACGACGGTTATGTTGTACGCCGCACGCTCGGTTCCCTCGACTGGGAGGGCAAGGCGATTTCGGGCCTTCCCCCTTACGCGGAACACATCCTTATGCTCAAGTTGACCGGCGAAGAGTACAAGAACCTGGACACCATCGCTAACGAGGCCGCGGAACTCAACCCAGGCGGTTCTATCGCCTACAACAGCGGAAAAGTGAGTCGCATTTCATTGTAGACCGCTGCACACCGCGCGTGCGTCCTGGACGCACGCGCGTGTGGGGCCACGTCTAGCCCACCACCCTGGAGGCAGGATGTGGGCTGAAGACGCCGGCACACCGTGCGTGCGTCTCGGACGCACGCCCTTGTGGGGCCACGTCTAGCCCACCACCCTAGAGGCAGGATGCGGGCTGAAGACGCCGGCACACCGCGCGTGCGTCTTGGACGCACGCCCGTGCTCTCGTCCTCGTTTGCAAGGCACCAGGGCATCCTTGACGCGCACCTCTTCATGCGCCATAGCGCCCAGCGAGCTCTCCGCGCGCATGCGTCCAAGACGCACGCCTTCATTGTAGTCACAAACATGACTTACTGACCGAGCGTGTTCTCTAGTCGTTCTATCTCTCCGTGCGTCGCGCACTCCTCCATCCAAGCTGTAATGCGGAATACAAGTGGACCCTGCCAACCTCACGTGAGGAGTGGGAGGCCATAGCCACGGCCAAGATCTCCGCACTTATCACCATATTGAAGTACCATTTGGAGCAAGACGCCCGCCCGCCACTCGTCAGCGTGCCCGTGGAGGATCCACCGCGTCCGCAGTCGCCCAGCTCTGACACCTCTAGTGATGAACCTGCGGCCTATGAAGAACGCCCTGCGAACAATCTTGCCCCCGATCCCGACGCCCAGCCTGATCCGCGCGATGCTCACAGCAAGCCAGACAAAATCGTCGTCTATGTCGCGTTTCCCTCGTGTTTCGACCCCCTCCTCAAAGTAAGTACATCCTGCTCGCGTCGTCCTACGTGTCATATCCCTCATTGCGTTCCAGATCCTGCAGATGTACGGTATCGAGTACGAGACCCTCACCGGCACCATGAGCGGCCGTCAACGTGCCGAAGCCCTGCGCAAGTTCATGCAGTCCGATGCAAAGGGGGTTCGTGTCCTGGTCCTCAGCAACGTCGGCGCGGTCGGGTTTAACATCGCGTGTGCCAACATTTTGATCATCATTGTAAGTCGTCTCCTGTATTTGTGCTACTCGCTCATGTCGTCTCCAGGATACCCTCTGGTCTGCGCAGGATGACAGCCAACTGATCGGCAGACTCTGGCGCCAACGACAGTTAAAGCTAGTCCATGTGTATCGTCTGATCGCCAGGAACACTTCCGACGTGTTCCTGAACAACATATCATTCGACAAGTCGATCATGCACAATGCGTTTATGGGCTCCAGTCGTGCCCTCAGTGAGTGTACTCATCACAAACCCCAGTACTCTTCAGCTCACTGTGCACAGGGCGCGTGTTCGACCCTAAATACGATCTCGACGTGGGAGACAAGGACTTGACGCATGAAGAGGAACCCCAGGAGCTGCCGGATGTTCAAGGCGCAAGCGGATCCGCATCTGCTAAGTCCAACGTCCCATTCTTGGCTGAAGACTTCTCCTCAGCCGGGCAACAACAGGCAGATCCCGAGCCTCAGCCCAAGCAGAGTGCCAAGGCAAAGCGTGAGGCGGCGAGAGCGGCGAAGAAGCAGCTCGAACAGCAGGAGCGCCTCGATGCTCAGCGCGAGAAGGAGCAGCGCGAACGGGAGCACGAGGAGCAGCAGGAGGCCCAAGTGGCAAAGCGCGACAAGCGGGAGCGTCAACGCGAGATGAGGGAGCGCAAGAAGCTGGCCGCTGTGCAAGCCCAGTCTAGTCAAGCCCCGTCTGCTTCTGGCTCCCGTCGAGCCAGGAAAGTGGTCCTGTCCGATGCAGAAGACGACGAAGACATCTCTGCACAGAAAGTCCGCTCCCCGCCCAAGGGTGCTACCGGGAGCAGATTCGAGCCGCTCTCAACGTATGCTCATGAGTCAGACATCGACATTTCAGCAGAGTCTACAGACGACGAGACACGTACGCGAAGGTTGCTCTTTGAACCAAGAGAGGAGTCAACATCTACCTCAGCGGTCTCGGGGACCCTCAACGATGCTTTGGAGAAGTTTACTTTAGATGCGGTAAGTATTTCTTTGTTCCTTTTTGGCCGCGTATCACTAACCTCTTTGTTTCAGGCGGTCCAAGACGATGTTGAGCCCATCCCGTCTGCCTCTGTCGACACGCAATCACAGCAACGGTCTGAATGTAAGTCCCTCTCCCTTGCTGTTCTTGCTTTTCTAATCGTCTCCCAAGCACCCCTTAGTGACGTCCCTATGGGCGAGGCCGATGACGCTGAGCCACCAGCGGCCGGAAGCTCTAAG